TTGCTTTCACTACGCTAAGCTCGTACATCCAATGAACGCAGCTCTTCCCGTGGCATCTCAAGTCACGCATCATATTCAAACTAACAGCTCACCTGTCTCATCACGCCCATGCCGTCTTTCTCCGGAGAAGCTAAGCTAGCTAGGGTGCAGTTTGAGCCCATGCACGAACTTTGAATACTCCGTCCTTCAGATAGTTCATGGTCCTCTCCACTCCAGATGGTCCAAAGTAATCTGGAGACTGGCGTTCTTGCGGCGACCACCGGGCACTAAATAAATTTACGATCCTCTTTAGGTACCCTACACACGCAGCACCTTATTGCATGACTTCCAAGTAAGACGGTCCTTAACAAGATCGATGTTGTTTGTGTCAAGCATCAGATACCTATCGAGGAAGCTGACATACCTAAAATAGCCATCATCATTACCTTCGGCTTGTTCGAATTTTTACGAATGCCTTTTGGGCTGTGCAATGCCGCACAGACCTTTCAGCGCTTCATCCACGATGTCACCCATGGCACAGATTTCGCCTACCCCTACCTCGATGATATTCTAGTGGCCAGTTCGTCCAACGAAAAGCATCTAACTTATCTTCAGTCTCTCTTCCAGCAGCTGACCAAACACAGCGTCACTGTCAACCCGACAAAGTGCGAACTAGGCAATTGCTCGGCGGAATTCCTAGGCCAACTCCTCTCACCAGTTGGCATCGGGGTCCTTGGGGCAAGGTCTAATCCATCAAACGCTTCCCAGCCCTGACTTAATTTAAGCACCTGCATCGATTCTGTGTTCTAATCAAATACTACCGACGCTTCATCCCCCGCTGCGCACAACTCCTGCAGCCTCTGACTGACCTTCTTAGGGGAAACGAACATGTTTACTTTCCCCTACACGGCACACACGGATTTCACCGAGCTCAAGGATGTCATCGTCAACACAGCACTTCTCGCTCACTCCGAACCGTCTGCTACGCTTTCACGTACAAAGGAAGCTTCAGACGCTGTGGTAGGAGCTGTTCTCCAACAATACATTGGTGGGTAGTGGCAACCGCTCGGTTTCTCCTCCAAGCGCTTGCAACCAGCGGAATCCCGCTACAGCACGTTTAATAGAGAACTGTTTGCCATTTACTTAGCTATTCGTTAATTACAACACACAGTAGAAGGTCGGGGTTTCACGGTCAACACTGACCACCACGGGAAACTAGACACCAAGGTTTTATCACGCAGTTCACTGCTGACATACTTCATGTCTCAGGTGTCGCCAACCCCGTAGCTGACGCTCTCTCTCGCGTCTATCTCACTCCTCCCTCTTTGCCTACTGTAGATCAGGCCGCCATGGCATCGGCTCACGCTCAAGATGAATACCTCCAACCCACCCTGCAGTCCACTTCACTGCATGTGCAACCCGTTCCTTTCCAAACTACGGACGGAACTACCCTTTGTGACACTTCCACAGGTTGTCCAAGACCCATGGTGCCTGCCTCTTTCAGATGTACAGTCTTCGACACCCTTCACTCACTCTCTCTTCCTGGTATTCAGGCATCTTTAAAACTGGTCACCGAGCGTTTCTTTTGGTCAAGCGTAAACAACGACGTTCGTAACTGGGCTCGAGCTTGTCTTCATTGCCAGCGCTCCAAGGTACATCGACACACCCGTAGTCCTCTCGGCTCATTCCCTGTGCCGGATTGGCGGTTCTATCACGTACACAGACTTGGTAGGACCATTGCCTCTCTCGCAGATCCGTATACATACTGACATGCGAAGCGTCGGTACTACCTACCGGCTCACTGCTGATACCGTCCCTGAAAAATCAAAAAATCAGCAAGGGAGATTTCAATATGCCTCATATATCATTGTATCACCCATGCAGCCCACCCACATATTTTAACTTGGTGCCAACGATCCACGCACTTGACCGGATACAATAAATTTCATCTCCGCAAAAGACATATTCCTTACTCCCCTGAGTGTAAACACAAGATAGCAGAGATCTACTTTTTCGACTATTGCTGTTTTCACAGCCTAGCTCATGTCTCGTTGGAGCACCGCGCAACCAATGAATGTGCTCGGCGTCATGTGTTTTGTGCAGAAAAATTGAGTGAAATGCTCAGCACCATTATCTCACGTATCAGGCTCCGATGATTGGGGCACGGGTTGCACATTCCATTACACTGACTCCCGCGTCGTACCTTATTTGCGCGCCCGGGATGTGGATGGAAGAGGGAGAGAAGAGGCCAAGTGATCACTTGGTCGAGAAGAACGAAAACTTTCACTTCGAAGTTAGCGTCGGTTGTTGTATCAAAAGCGTCGGGATGGGTTCCAAGGACGGTGAACACGTTTGGTTGGATACATTGGTTGATGTCGCAAAGAGCCGGCCCTAATGGCGCTTGTGTTGAGTTGCTTTGCCTAACCCCTTCCCCTTTATATCCCCTCTAATTACGGTTTCTTATCAAATGCATAATATAACATTTAACATCATATTACATGATGGTAGAACTATTTTTAGTCTGCAATTTGTAATATCTTATCTTTTTCTATTGCGGCACATCAACTAAGGTTTGTTTCTCACCCTCAGCTAACGTGCATTCCATTACCTTGTTGTAGAGGTTTACTCCGACGGAACTTACAACCGTAATGCAGTCAAAGGCTTTAGGACTATCGCAAGTTTAACGAAAAATGTACAACTTAAATGCAACCATTCAACTGAGATAGCCGTTTACTTTACGGTGAACCGCAAGATGCGGCTGCCACATTACACCAGAACGCATACTTTCGTCCATAAATACCTTTTCCTCCACGTGTCATGGGGTTGCTTCTCTCAAGATGTGGATGAAGTGCTCTACATCATATAAACATAAAGTGAAAAAGGTTACGATATAAATTTCGAGATAATAACGACCTACTATGTCAATTTAACACACTTAAATAATGTCATCTTTGGAAAAGTGGTGATGTTCAAAACTGCTTTAAAATGGGACCAACGCTCGAGCCCGTTGCAATAAGCTTAAAGAACTGATTTGATTATTACAACTCAGGAACAATTTCAAGCAAGACAAACGACCTTATGCTATATCTTATGCCATACGACCTTATGCTATATCTGGAAACAGCCTGTAGCAGTATGGAGATTCCTCCGGATTGCCTGAGTATGTTGAGTAAAATACTAAATAAAAAGCTTCTTACTGCACACCTAGAGGTTGTATGCAGAATGCTGATATGTACGTTGCATTTATTTGTTTGACCCAACACGCGCACGAGATACACACAGCGCCACGGTTGAATTTTAACACGTTGCTTCATCTCGCGGTCCCTCACATCCTTCCCTAGCTAGCTCGCGTTGTCTTGTGTCGGATTTTCAGCCAATACGCGGGAAGATTGTGTCACAATACACTTTGGTCCCTTTGCCTTCGTGCCTTCTTTCTACTCAATGGGAATGGTACTTGCCAGTCGATCATCGTGAATACTACCAGTCTGTTAGCGTGAGTCGGCCACTCATCACTACAAGCCGTAATACATACTCGAACAAGATGTGTGTAGTATTCACAGAAAAACTCACCGTCTTTCACAGAGCAGTGCAATTCATGAAGGATAAAAAGCCATGATAAAATTACTGACCACAATACTGTCGAAATTGTACAACAAACATGAATTATAACCAACCTAGTTAGCTCAAGTTCTATCAACGGCCAGATGGAACACCGCGTGCCGTACTTAAAATGCAGGGGTCATGGTAACTTTGTCATATTGTAAAACACTTTCAGATTATCCATAAAGTCTGAGGTTGTCGTAGATGTGTGGAAATATACAGTTGACACATATGAATATAAGCGACATCTTACAAACTAGCGGACAAACAGCCATATCTCCATTTTGTGTAAGACAATGAAAATGGCAGTAAAAACCAAACTCGTCGAATTCCCATCCTCTCGAAAGTTGATCAGTACCTCCCAAACCAAATCAGTAGCAACACGTTTCTGTATACTTTTTCAGTTGTAGTTTCTTTACTTTGTTACTCATTCCAATGACTGAGGTAACTGCTCAATCATTATGTTCCTTGGTAAGTGTAAAGCGTTCTATCAGGTATCGCATGAGAAGCTCCTATCGAAATACATTCAGTCGGTTTAGCTGGCAACTTAATTGTTTAGGCTTCACCACATTCTTCTGGTCTGCATCATTTAGTAAACATACTGAACAATACTTCCACACAGAGATAATCCAGAAGCGGTGTGATTCAAGGAAGTTCTTCTTAACAAATTAACACATTTTCCATTTCGACGCTCCAGATACTGTGCACACTGTTAGTTGCCCAATCATACAATTTTCTTTTTCTATTGATCTCAAGGAGCTAAAGTGTGCTCAGCACGAACAACAAACAAACTACAACAAATGTAGGATAAACATCAAGCATCCGTTACTTATCAGGAAGATGGTGCTGGTTTCACAAAAGAAAGATGGAGTCAGAAAAAACTTGTTGTCGATAAATGTCGAATGAAGATTAATCTAAGTCTAGGAACATCTGCAACGCTGGCTCTAATTGTGCTCAATTTCTGCTAACTGTCCACATACGCATGAATATATGACGTGTAAGAATTCGACTGCAACCCTCATGAGTGCAGTAGCTCATTAAATTGAGCAAAATGTTTATTTGGACAGTTGGGTAGATATGGCGAAATCAAGGCGTCAGCGGAATGTTGAAATTCGTCAAGTTAACTCTGATGCACAGATCGTGAATCTGCCGAATTGGCCAATACTTTGCTGTCTCATTTTTGGTGTTTTCTACTTTAGGTTGCAACGTATTTCAAGGAAATGGAGCCCACCAAGAAACGAGACATGCATTGCAATTGACATGTTGCACTGTACCGAATGCTACAACATACAGAATTAGTATGAGCCTGCCATCTCAACTATCAAATTAGCAAGACGTCGCGCATCCACATTAATTTTTTAAATCGGTTAATCACTAGGTATAAAATCCAGAAACTGCTGGCTAAGGTGTAGCAAACGCACCTGGCATTCCTGTACACTGGTCACCTTGTGCATTGACAAACCAGCCACATAAACACCCTTTTCAGGATGTTCCTTTAATTCCAAACGCGCTTTCGTATCTTTGCCCAATAAATCCCTGATATCTTCGTTGTAAATTTCTAGGTACGATACATGGACGAGGAATTTTGTATCACGGCTCAAAGAGATCGTCTCGAAAATGTGGTCAAATGCACTGCCAAAGAGAAGAAAAATAGCAAACTTCTGAGTTTGAATCGTGGAATAATGACCAATAAAGAACATGGTTGACATCGTTGAAGAGGTGATTACGTTGTACATCGGAAGGGAGAATATTCATGAACCCATGAGGGCACTCCCATCTGCCAACCGCTCAGTATCAGATCTAGGAGTTGCTAGTAGTTGGACCATTGCACAAACGTTGATAGGCCGCAAAATTCGAACAATACACCAATCTCTAATTCTAACGGATGAGTCTCTGCTGTAAGTAACGATTTCGGGCACGTGAGAAGTCTACTTCCGTCAACCGTTCGGAAGATTTGAGCCAACTGAACCAGCCAAATCGATTGAACTAGAATCAGAGTCAACCGCCATCAAGTACGTTTATTCCAAGTGTACATTAAGAAAGGACATGTACAGACCTCGACAATATTTACTGCAACCGTAGAAAAGGAAATCGTCAAAAGAACATAGTAGGCATAGTTTCGCATCAGAGCTAGTGGTAGACGCATTCGTCAATCTGCTAACGGACGTAGACCAAGCGGCTCAGTCTTACGTCTGTCTCGAAGTAAGCCATAAGCTGCATCTTTTCTTATGATGTGAAGTACCTGCGAGAGTACCGATAATAACTCGCAGGCTAAAGAACCATATTGGCGGCCTTCACACTGGGAATAATGATGAACAGGTGTCCCAGAAGAAACAACCTGAATTTTCTTTTGTCCGGAATCTATGTCACAGTTGGCTTGCTTCAGTCGTCAGCTGAAGTACTCGTGACATTCAGCGCTAAAGTAGTAGCTAGTGCAACTAAGAACACACGATAACCTTCCGAATCGCCTAAAGAGCAGCGTTTCTCCTGCGCACTGCGCCTTCGACTCGGAAAGGTAGAGCGCACTTCAAAAACGCTATTTTACTGCGGAAAGTATACGACCAGTTTCACAGAATCCGCCGATCCCTAACAAAGCAGTTGCATTAAAATGGTAGATAAATGAAAACGTGAAACACTAAACCTCATACAAAATCAGTTCCATTGAGCTGAACAACTGTGATCCGAGCACCGAGGTGCGGTAGATCCAATTGCCACGACGCACATCGCACGAATAACACTAAATAACAACGGCAAGATAGTGAGGTTAAAGGCAACTAGAATGTAAAGAAAATGAAAGCGAGAAAGAAGTGCGTTAAACTGAGCAGAATGAAACGAAAATTAACAAGCAGATGAAAGAAACCGAATGCAGGTACTGCACTGACTGCGTGACTGTGCCATGTCAGATACGGTCTTTAACCACTGGTGTGGATCATCCAGAGGTTCCCATCCACAAAGCCGGCACGCACCCACCTGAACAAGCCTCTCAGTCAAGTTCTTCATGCCTCGAGGCCACGTCATGAACTGACCACCTCGCAGTTTCTCCCAACTTGGTGCAGCCACGGCATATAATGCATGCCGAGGAAGCCGATCAACGGGCATACGGAGAACATGGGCAAACAATCGATTGAGGCACCAGAAAGCTTCTTGCCGAAACTTAGCTGGCAGACCTCAGCATTGCTCATCCGGTGTACCCACCCGACGTGAGAAATATTCACGCAAGTACCGATTATCAAATAAGGTCAGGCGTTTAATGTCTTCGCTGCAAACTGACCAGGTTTCTGATCCATACAATAAGACCGGTCTTACCGCAGTGTTGTACACCCCACTTTACACTTTCAGACAGACACTGTGCGCACTCCGTGTATGGTTCAGTCTCTGGATAGCCACACCGGCTTGGCTGATACGCTAAATAACCTCTTCAGTGATGTGATCAGCAGGTGTGATATAGCTACCAAGGTAAGTGAATCGACCCAGCAATTTCAGTGGCTGTTCGGTGATGTCTAGAACCGGAGGCGTATCGATCCAGTCCTGCAGCAGTCCTGCAGCACTTCGAAGGTGTAAAATACATGCTAAAAGTTGCAACGCTAAGCGTCAGTTTATCCACTAGTTTTGCATAGCCACTGCGTCGGACCCAAGAACAGCTATGTCGTTCGCATATTCCAGGTTTGTCGATCGGTCACCTGGAACAATTTCTACTTCGATACAGTCGGAAAATCTTAGTGGTAGAATCGTAGCTGACCAACTAAACAACGCTGAACAAGATGAAACAGAGATAACCAATAAGTTGAAGTCTTAAATGTTCCAAGGGATTTGTACTTATCGACATGTCTACCATGAATTAGTACCACTGTCCCAGTAAAATAGGAAGCCGCAGGAAAAAGATGAAGGGGAATAACGAACCCTGTAAAGGACGAACAATGAAACCTTCATATGCGGCGTCCTAGCCTGACCATTAAAGACTACATGGATAAGTTCGATGAACGATTATCAAGAAAAAGCACATAAATGCCCCTACTACGTTCTGAATATCAGTAACCGCCTTGGCAGCTTGCATGCCACCCCCATTGTTGACGGCTAGCAAAAATAGTTACAGCTGTGCCCCCTGCACGTTCATGCTTTGCATGACAGTGTAGGAGGAGTTTCGCTATACTGCAGCAAGAAATCAGTCATAATAGTCTGCCATCGTCGCCCATCGCTCAGTGGCAAAAATAAGAGACCAAGGGTTCGAATCCGACAGGATCCGGTGAATGCGCACCACTAATGAGTCCCAGTAAAACGAAATGGTCGCTTAGCTCTTTCTTGGATGTGTCATGGCTGTCTGTTTAAGTCTGTCTGTGGGGAAACTTCTCAAAAGTGACGGTGAAAAACTATAGTGCATAGCAAGCTCGGGTTAACAGACAAGTAGTCACTGTTTGTGCTGTGGGAAGGTTAAACTGCATCCTCCTCACCATCATTGCAATCATCGAAACACTTTAGCCCAGAGTGAAAACACACCCCAGCTAATGTGCCGCGATACAAAAAATAAGCTACTAAAATTACAGACTACAAAGGCTAAAAGAAATACAGGCAACATGCAGCGCTGGAAGCTAAAGAGGAAGAGAACGGACAAAGGAACCCAAAACAAGCGTCATGGAAGTCGTATCCTTGCCATAGCAACAACTGTATCTAAACAACGTGTTAATCGTCCTTGGGGTCCCATTCCGGCCGTCGGGAGACAACAGTCGACACTAAGTTCGAAGCGCGGACGTCCGTTCCTTTGGTCTAGTCATCGCATCTTCTAGTCATACCCCGGTCGTGTAAACAACCAAATTAGCAGGAACTTGTGTGCTGACATGCGCAACATCTAGCATAGCCATCAGATCTGGGCAGTTCACTCACTCTGCTTGCATCAAATACAGACGACGAACATGGCCATTGCTCACACTAAGTTCCCACCAGATGTGAGCTAAGCTGCGAAGGCAGCGATGGTCGAATGTCGCTTGTCTCCTTATGACTGTATACTTGATGGGCCAAGTTTCCAATCCGTATGGGAGAGGTTACCGAACGGTTGCTTTGGAAACTCCGCCTTTCATGGTGACAGTGAGGTCGCGTCGTGCCACAGGTGACTGAGAATTGCAAGAGTGCCCCGAGATTTTGCTGTGCGATCCGTGACCACATTTTCCATTTCATCGGTGCTGATATAGCTGCCCAGATACTTGCATTTCGCGCTGACTACCAGCTGATCATCACCAAGGGTTAGCGTAGGATTGGATCCCTGTCAATCTTGGAGAAGGACTTTGCATTTCGACAGTGCAAGGAATAACCCGAAACGACTGACAACCAATTTGTCCCGTGCTGTGTGGCACGTTCGGAAGCTGTCACAGAATAGGGTAAATGTTGTCGGCGTACTCCAAGTCAAGAAGTCGATCTCCTGGGCGCAGTTTTACACTTTGTATATCCTGTTCTATGAAGGACGTGACTTTATCAATAGCAAAGTTAAATGAGAAGGGTAACAGCGGGCAACTTAGTCACACATCTCTGTAGATACTTAAAGGCGACGACAGTTTGTTATATACTCGCATTCTGTCCGAAATGTGCGTGAAAAGCGCTCTGATAATATCTAAGTATTTACCAGACACACCTTTCCTGGACAGACACCGTCAAAATGTACATCGATCCACCGAATCGAAGGCATTTATGGTGCTGAGGAACACGACTACGGTGGGTCGCTAACAAATGTGACGTAAAAATGTGGCCAACGCAGCCCCGATTTTGACGAAACCTTGCTTGCTTCGAATGAATCTGGCTTTCAGGAGTGCCAGCCAGCCTGTGAAGAACGACGGAGGCGATTAGCTTAGGAGCAATTGAGACCATACTAATCTTTAGATGACAGCCGCAATCGGAACGTGAGACGTCTTAAACAGTGGAACCATAACGCAGCGGCTCCAGTCTGTTGGGACAGGCTCCTGCTGCAGTAGCTTCAATAATAAGTTGTGCAAGGTATTCACGAGAGTTGGTCCTCGAATTTGAAACGTACTGGAGGAGGCTTACTTGCTTCTGTGGCCTTATTCTAGTTCAACAGTCTAATCTTACGTTCGACTGCTGCACATCAGGGTGGATTCTAGAGGATGACTAAAGGAGACAGGCGATAAATGCTTGACAATTAAGATGACTTAGGTTGAATAAACTGCATTTTGATGTGTTGGGTCCAACACAAAGCGAGTTGCCAAGCTGCGTATTGGCTGTCCACTCCAGCTGCGTATGGTATCGCTAACACCAGGTCTCCTGCGATCTGTTTTCCGTAGCAGACGAAATAACTTATGATGGTTTCTAAGGGCAGCGACTGTTTCCGTCTCCGACATAAGTTGATCACAAAGCATCGCGGTCTCTCTTCAGTCTATAACGCAGTTGTGCCATGAGATATTTGTGAGTCTTGTTGTATTTGCTACTAGCCGGAACATGTCAACAAGTATTCAGAATTTCCACAGACTGTTTGGGAACCCAATGTCCGAGTTAGTAATTCAATTCGCCACATGAAAACATGCCTGCTGCTAATAAGGTCTGGTAAATAAGCAACCAGGTATCTTTACCTGTGTTGAGTGGGCGCTTACTCATCGCGGCTGTTAGCATACTTGACACGTAGTCAGGACAAT